AGTTGCAGGAGCCAAGTCCGAGGAGGGAGGATTTTAATGCGTGAAGGGAAAAGCCGTCTTTGTTCATGTTCAGCCTGGAGCCACTCTCCTTTGGTGCCGGTTTACTCCAGCCTGGTGGAAGTTGAGCTCAGAGAGCTCTGGGAGCCCCTGATCAGCGCGTTGTAGCCATTTAAAGCAGTGAGTCCGAAGCGTTGCGCGGGTTCTGGCCTGTGGTTGGTCTGTCTGTGGCAGGCGGTTCTCCTGCATGCAGGCAGCTGGCAGGAGCCAATGGCAGCAGCAAACCCTTTTCCCTTCCGGCGCTTCCCGGTCCCTTGCCCAGGGTGCACCCCAGGTGCCGCCCAGCTCTTCAGCATTTACGCAACATTCACTGGAAGGGGGAAATCGGGGTCTTGGGTGACAGTGTGGGAGCAGCTGGGTGCCGCCTGCTGTGCTCAGAGCTGGCGGCAGAGAGCAGTGTTTCTTTGCAAGTGGGAAGGAAGGGAAGGAGCAGCCGCCCGCCCTCCGGCACAGCGCTTTTCTCCCCTTATCTGGGAACTAAACTTGGCCAAAGCCATGCTTCCATCCACTGCTGATACTGGCAGACCGGGGTGCCCCCTTACTGGGGGGATCCCACCACCCTGTGGCGTGGGCAACAGCCGAGATACCACGTTTTCTAATTAAACTGTTGTCTCTGCCTCCTCCAGTGCTCTGTGCCACGGACGAAGTGTAGGACTGATTAGAGCCGTGCTCCTTCGTTTATTTAAATCGGTAGCGGTATCTGAGCGGCATCGGTGCATGCATTGCTTGCATGACTGTTTTAACCACCAGCCAGCCCATGCTATTTTGAAGAGGGACAGAGAAAAAACTATGGCAGAGCGTGCTGTGGCGACAAAAAACACGGCGCTGCTCCGTGCCTCGCGCGTGAAGAGGCCTCTCCAAGCACCATCCCTGCATCTGCAGGCTTGCTGGGTGTTCGGCCTGTGCTTGGGAGCAGTTGGCAGGAGCTTCGGGTGTGAGGGGACTGCATCTCACGGCTGTCGCTGAGTTGCACTGCCTGACCCTTGCAGCCTGCTCTGCACTCTCGCAGTGCAGCCGCAGCGCTTGGGGCCTTGCAAAGGTGACAGGGCAGAGGAGAAGCGTATATAGATGCGACTGGCTGTCGTTGTGGCTGAGCACTGGGATTTTTCAACTTTGTGATATTCAGCAGTTTAGTGTTGCAGAGAGTTCAGGTAGAGACGCAATCGATTTGCGAAAGGTGAGGGAAGGAGGAGAAGGTGCGGGAGAAGCTGCCAGCTGCTAGATCCACCTCGCGGGACCTGGCAGCGTGCGAGGGCACTGCGTCCCCTGCCTGCGCAGGCTGCGTGCTGAGCTTCTGCCTGCACGTGCTGCCTGCGCACTCACCAGCCTCACCGGAGGAGGAAGGCAGCTGGGCAGGGGACAGGGTCTGCATGCGTGGCGGGTCAAGGTGACCCCTGCGCTGCATCGTCTCGTAGGGTTTAGGGGAGAGGAACGAGCCGTCGCAAAGTGTCGTTAGCGTTCACAGCGGGGACAGCAAGCCTGGTTTTACAGGGGATCTGCTTTAAGGGCTCTGTGTCTTTGCAAGGTGAGGCATCGGTCTGCAACCAGCGGTCATTATTTCAACGTTTTGCAATAAAAGATAATAGAATAACGATTTATTTCCCTGGGTTGAAGTGGTAATGTCTCTCTCCGTTATCCCTTCCTGACAGCTTGCGATTACAGTAAACGTTTTCCCTAGGACACTAGGTAATGAGTTTTTAATAGAAAGATTAACCTAGCTTTAAATCCTGTCTCGGGGAGGTGACCTGTGTCCTGTCCGCTCCTGCCCTCAGGTCCCGGCCGCCCCATCTCCCCTCCCTGTGGCAGGAGGATTTCCAGCTCCTTTGGCTTTCCCAGCATGGGGCTTGCCATGATACGCTGTGGGTTGGGGGCTCGCAGAAACCCTGGTCTTACGGGGTCTGTGTAAATGCAAGTTAGTCTGGAAAATGGGTGTTAGCAACAAATAAAAGTTAAAAGAAAAAAAAAAATTAAGATTTAAGGAGGTTGAGATTTCCAAATGGTCCTGGAGGTCGTTTGCCGTAAGCCACTGTCTGGAAGTTTTAATGGGTGTTCTGTTTGCGCCGCTGGCTGTCCAAATGCAACAGGTATTGCTCTGCTTGCAGCTGCCAGCGGTGGCTCTGGAATCCCCTTTCTCTCTCCTTTCCCATCCTAGACTGTTTACTTCCACACTTCCTTGAACCACCCTGGCATCGCTGCCGTCGTGGAAGTGGTGGTGACGGTCGGGAAAGGGGACGAGGCCGCTCAGCAGCTGTCCTGCGGCTTTGGACTCATCCCCCTCTTCGGCAGCGGGTCGGAGGCGACAGACCCAGCCACCGAGGACAGAGTGTAGGTCCCCCCGCCGCTGTGTGATGGGGCACGCCTGGCCTTGGGCTGGCGATGTCGGGGGAGGAAGGGTGGTCCTGGGGCTGCAGAAACAAAGCCGGCATTTAGAAACCTGGAATTCTGCACTGCTGGGAAAGCAGCGACGGGTTTGTAAGCGATGCCTGTCCTTTCCCACCATGGGTAGAGTAGGAAGGTCGAGCAGAGGCATTGTGGAAGACAGAGGTGTCCTGCAGGCTGGATTTACTGGCCACTGCATGTGTGCTCTTTGCTTTCAGACTGAAGCTGTACCATGGAACGCCACGCGCCTTACTGCACCCGCGCTTCCAGGACCCCATGGAAAGTAAGCAGCAGCAAGACATTGCGTCTCGCTCCTTTCTTGGCGGCCTGTCTTATCCGAATGAGTATCATGTGTGTCTGGTCCATGCGGTACGTGGTCCGTGCTCTGGTAGCGCTAAGCGGACGTGCCTTGCTGCCAGCCAGCAAAAGCCTGGCTGGGCAAACCTGGATTTTCCTTTGCTCCCAACACGTGCATTCGTGGATAATGATTTCTGCATCATTGGCACCGTGAAGCTGTCTCCCCTGGTTTTGGTTGTTTCAGGATGTTTTCTCTTCTTCAGAGAACAAATACCTGACGGTGATGGAGAAGAGCCACCTGCAGTACTCCCTGAAGCCCCACCAGCCCTTGGAGACCATATTTCACCTCCTTCCTGAAAACCTTCTGATGTCTGGGCTGCAGACCGTTCCCGGCTTGCTGCCAGCGTATGGAGACGCGAGTAAGGGCTTCTTCCCTTTCCCTGCTGCCTGCACCGCTCCTGATGAAGGCAGCAGGTCCCCGGGGAGGCTGCGGGCAGGGCGCTGGCGTGGGATTTCTGGGTGCACTTACCGGTTCTCTGCAGTGCTGCCCCTAGGCAAGAGCATCTCCCCTGTGCGGGCCAGCGGGGATGCAGCCCTTGCATTCATGGCTCAGCCTGAAGGATGTCAAAATGGCTTTGGTCTGTTCCCCGTCCTTAATTTTTTTGCTCCTGGGAAACTGCTAGGGATAAGTCATGGTTGGTTTAATTACAGTCGTTCAGCAGAGTCTTAGGAGAAGCCCTTGCAGCTTGTTTAAAGTCATCTTCCTCAGTGGCAGGGCTCAGGGTCGCTGAAGGTCTGGCAGGTTCGGGGGGACGACCTCTTGCACGCTCAGCCCGCGTTAATCTTTCCCTGTGGGTAGCAGCCTTGCTGTTCGAGCTGCTGCGATTAAAATTATGTGATCTGAAGATTCAGAGGGTAAAAAGTACTCTCAATTCTGCAGCTGAATTATTCTTCAGCTTGCTGCCTGGAAAACCCTACTGCTAACCATTTTGGGGGTTGTAACTGTTAGTGTTAAAGCTGAGCAAGGTCTCCAAAGCAGCCGAGTCGCTGGTGCTGCTGAGACCACCGCTCGAAAGCAGAAGAGGGGAGAGCCAACGTCTTGTGCGGCAGGGCGCCTCGGCACTGCGATGGCGGTGGCTTTATTAAATGAACGGATTCCATCCATTGACGCCACAGGTGTTGGGTATTTCCGGGTCTCTCCCAGGCGTAAAGCCACGTGTGCGCTGGGGCAGCTGGGTGAAGCAGGAAGGTTTCATTGTGCATCTCTGCAAACACCCCATGTCCACGTAAAGGCGGTAGCCCTGTGGCCAGGGAGCCTGTGCATGGCCACGACCTCTACCTGGTGCCGCGTTCAGCTCAGGTACCGCTGCGGGCACTCCTGTGTTCCCAGCGTGGGAACCGGTAGCCGCAGCGTGGCTGGGGGCGCCCCCCCCTTTGTTCTTGGGTAGCCGCAGCGTGGCTGGTGGCCACCACCTTGTCTTTTCAGGTGACTGCTTGCAGAAACCCCGGCTGATGAAGCCAGTCACCTGCTACCTGGAGAGACTGTCTGTCCGGCTGTACCCTTCCTTGGAGGAATTTGAGGAAGAACTGCTGGACTTGCTGAACAGCGATCGCTTACTTCAGGTACCGCCGATGCAGTTATGGCAGGGGAAAGCCCAGTGTGTGAGCAGTAATGCCAGCGCTTTGTTTACAGGCGGAGTGGAAAGGTTCAGATAAATGGTGCTCATGTATTTGTTTCGCTTGGAGGCCCCGATTTTTTTGCTGTGCCAGCCTTTTGCTTGCTCTACCGCTGGATTAGCACACAGGTGCTCTGTGTAGGCTTTGGTTTGAACATCCAGACACTAATGAGCAGAATTTGGGTTTGCTCTGCTGTGGAAAATGCAAAGATAAGATGCAGTGCATATTGAGTACGTCTCTTTAGGAATGGCAGCGCTTGGTGTGCGGTAAGCACAGCTGGCTGAGTCCTTCATCTGCCAGATTTGCACCAACTCTGCCATAAAGATGAAAGATTCTAATATCCATCGGCCGCTGCGGGGGTCGGTCCCCTTTTTTGAGTTTCTGATGGATTGCCTGAATTTTCCTGGCTACGGGCGGTGCAGGGAGGGATGCTGTGCTGCCTTGTGCCATCTTGCTGCCCGAGCTGGATAGCTTGTCTGTTGCAGGCTAATGCCGCTCCGGATGGCAACGAGGTGGCGGTTCGGGAGCGGCGGCTGCACGTCGGAGTCCACAACGGCCTGCGCTTTGTCCAGGTGCCACAGGTGGCCGTGCTGGTGCCGGAGGCGGAGGCGGCGCAGGGCAGCTGCATGGAGGTGCCTGGCTCCGGAGCCAGGTAAGGGGAGACCCTCCACTGCCGGTGCCACTTCCCTCCCACCTCGGGCGCTACCAACAGCTGCTTCTCCAACCCGGCGCAGGGGTGCAGGTCAAGCCCTGGTCCTGAGGAGCCGCATCCACCTGAGCGAAATGGTCCCTCACCCAGCGTTCGGAGTCTGCTTCCAGCTGGAGTACGTCTTCTGCAGCTCGGGGAGAGCCGGCAGGAAGGTAGGGCTGAGTGTGCATGCACCTCGTCTCCATCCCTTATTAAAGAGGGGAGATCCGCCACTGGGCGAGCGAGCCCTGCTGAGTAACTCCGTCCTCTGCACCCGTTTCACCATCCCGCACCCCCAAGACACAGTGGCTCCTTGTCACACGGCCACACTGCGCTGCCTGGCAAATGGCCCTGCAGAGTGTCCAAGGGCTTTCCGCAGCGCTGCGCAGAATATCTTGCAAATGAGCTCATTGAATCCTTTTAATTACACGTGGTTACATTTCTCCACCGTGTGTACCTATATGGACAAATGCAGCCTGCAGCTGTCCCGTAGTGTTCTGGCAAGCTACTTCGGAAAGTGTCAGCTTTTTTAATTTAAAAAAGGCTCTTTAGAATTTAGCATTTATGCTGAAAAGAAGTTAACCTCTCCTGCTTTTTTTATTTTATTTTTTTGTCTGAATGCTGAGGTTTTTCTGGGAGTTTCAGCCTGGTGTTCTCCAGACCTTAAAGCCAGGAGAAGTCTCTGTATTGACTGCAGAGACCATGCTTAGCGAGCCGTTCGGTCGTCCCCTCCAGAGACCCTTTGCTGTTGGAGCCATTAGCTCGTAGCGTGGCTGAATCGACGGCCATGGGTTCGTTAGGAGGCCCTAATCGTCGCGCTAAGATGCTCATTGAAAACGCAGCAGGTGTGTCCCCTCTTGTTGGAGCTGTCGAGAGCAAAACCGGGGGGAAAATGGGTATTTATAAAGTGGGACACATGCCAGGCCAGAGGTATTTGTGTTGGCGCGGGGAGGAGAAGCTGGGCCTTGCTGTCAGAAGTTATGTGTTGGTTTGACTCCTCTACAAAGCTGGAACCCAAGAACCCGCGGAGGTTTGGGGCTCCAGTTGCAGATCTGTTTGGCTGCGCCGGGTGCTGGGAGCGCTGGCGAGGGTGGCGGTGGAGCCGGTTCCCCTGGCGCAGCCCTGGGGCAGGGTGGTTAATCCCAAAGCCGCTTGCCGAGCTGATCGCCTTGAGCTGCTTGAGGGAGGGGGTTGCAGCCCTTTGGCTGGTGCTGGTGTCCTTTTGTCTCGGCCTACGTGTGCTAAATACATACGAGGGATGAAAACCTTGTTGTTTTTGAACAGCCTGATGTACTGCGACTGCAGCCTGCGGGAAGGGGAATAGTGTCAGCGGTGGGCTGGGTAAACGGGGTGAGTGTGAGGAAAAAGCAGAGTGCCTGTGTGGGAAGGGTGATCCGGGCTTTACAGGGAGAAAGGGGGATTCGTGCCCGTGCGTGGCTGTGGCCGTGAGTTTGTGGTCAGCCCTGGGGAGGTGAGGTCACGTAGGAAGGCGCTGGTTCTGCCTGCGGCACTGCTGGCAGAGGTAAGAGAAGCAAACCTCGAAACCGTGCAGGCCAGCTCAGCGCTCTTTCACTGTGCGGTCTCGTGATCCTGCGTCCCCTCCCTGGCACTGACGTGTCCCCGTCCATCAGAGAAGCATTCCTGGCGCTCCTCGGAGCCTGCAAAGGGACGGGAGCAGCAAGGTGCGGTTAGGGGACAAATGGGTGCAAAAACAGAAGTAAGGTGCTGGAAAGTGGAGCGTCCCCAGAATGCGTTGAAGGGGAGTGGTTTCCGTGACGCCGGGTGCGGGAAGGTGGGGCAGGAGATCAGCGCCCACATCTGTCTGGCGGCACCCGCATCCCC